TGGCATACAAAGGCTCAGCTAACGTAATCATCAGATTTAGATCCATCTGTATAAATAGAAATTAAATTCCTGTCACAACGTTGAATTTCTGCAAAGTGCTGTCTGTAGACGTAGTCTGAAATTGATTCCTTTGGAAATTGCTTTAAGCTTAAATATACATCTATCACTAGGGTTGACCAAGGTGGAATACTATTAACCTCAATCTGTGAGATGTTGCCTATGTTCAGATCAATCGTGCTGCTCACATTCTCCATTCTTATGATGAATGTACGGACACTACTTCGGCGAGCTTCAAATAACCTTTTCAGCTGAGTATCTGATACTGCACCATCTACTGAAGGTATAGTAAGCGATTTCTGTTTTATATAATAAAAAAAAGACAACTGTTCTCTCCTGAGAGATAGTAAAGGCTCATAAGCATCCACATACAAACTTTGGACAGGAGAAGTTCAAAATGCACCACTGGTTGGTTGGTTTTGGTTTTTTGGCACAAGAGCCATATAGGCTAAGCTGCGCCATAACAAATGGTAAATAATTATAAACATCACAAATAACAAACATATGACAAAAATAAATAAATAAATAAATAAACAACAGCAACAAAAAAACAAATATATACATATTAATAACAAACAAGAACGAACAAAAAGCTAAAAGATAAATAAATAGATAATTAAATAGGTAAATAAATAAATAAATAATTAAATTTCTTTACACAAATTATTGACTTTTAAAAAGTCTAATATATCATAAAAATTGGGCCTCTGACCCAGAATCTGTTTAAAATTTGCATTTCCAAAATGCTGCCTACGCCTGGTCTCAAAAACAGAGCAATCGAGCAGTATGTGTTTTACAGTAAGAGGACAGTTGCAATACTGGCATACTGGCTGCTCGTCACCCTTCAAAAGGTATTGATGAGTCAACCGAGTATGTCCAATTCTCAAACGAGTAATAATAACTTCAGATCTCCTGTTATAAAATTTCTTGTGTGTCCAATTTTCTATCGTAGGTTTGATCTCATGCAGTTTATTGTGGACTTGTGCGTTCCACATATTTTGCCATCTCTCTGCTAGTCGTTTTTTAATGACTAGCTTGAAATCACCTCCTTCAATACGCATTGTGTGCTGTGGAGGACTAGCTGATTTTGCAGCTGCATCTGCTTCTTCATTTCCTCTTATACCAACATGGCCTGGGACCCAACAAAATTTTATAGAGAAATTCCTTGCAAGAAGATGGCTAAACAATTTACGAATTTTAATCACTATAGAGTGAGAACTAGGTTCACACGAGATCAAAGCCTGAAGTGCACTAACTGAGTCAGTGTAAATAACACAGCGACAATGACCTTTTCTGATTACATAGTTTAAGGCTAAGTGGATAGCATGCAGCTCTGCAGTAAAAATAGATGAATTCGATGAAATTTGCTCTGCCACAATTTCATCCTGGCAGACAAAGGCTGAGCCAACATAATCATCCGATTTAGAACCGTCAGTGTAAATGGGAATTAAATACCTATCATTGTGTTGGATTTCTGCAAAGTGCTGTTTATAGACATAGTCTGGAGTTGATTCCTTAGGAAACTGCTTTAAGCTAAAGTCAACATTTATCACAGGAGTAGACCAGGGTGGCGTACTATCAATCTCGGCCTGTGAAACGTTGCTTATGTTCAGGTCAATCGTGCTGCTTACATTCTCCATTCTTATGACGAACGTAGGGACACTGCTTGGGCGAGCTTCAAATAACCTTTTCAGCTGAGTATCTGATACTGTACAATCAACTGAAGGTTTAGTATAAGATTTCTGTTTTAGATAATAAAAAAGAGACAACTGTTCTCTCCTGAGTGACAGTGGAGGCTCATAAGCATCAACGTACAAACTTTGGACAGGGAAAGTTCGGAATGCACCAGTGCACAAACGCAAAGCTTGATAATGGATTGGATCCAGCATCCGAAGAGTAGATTCTCGCGCAGAGCCATAAACAATGCACCCATAGTCCAGCTTGAAGCGAACAAGAGCCCTATAAATCCTGAGCATAGAAACTTTGTCTGCTCTCCAGGATGAGCAGCATAATACCTTTATAAGGTTTAGAGATTTTAAACATCTACTCTTCAGGTTGCGCAAGTGTGGCAAAAATGTCAGTTTTTGGTCAATACAAACACCCAAAAACTTAGCCTCATTCACAATTGGAATTTTAACCCCATTTAAATATATTTCAGGATCCAGGTGCAAACCACGCCTTCGGCAGAAGTGGATGCACAAGGTCTTCTCTATGTTGAAACTAAAACCATTAATCTTGGACCAATTGTCTATTCGATTTACGGAGGTTTGCAGTTGTCTCTCAATGAAACTCATGTTGCTAGACTGGCAGGAAATCTGAAAGTCATCCACATACAAAGAGTGTTTCACACTATAAGGAAGACAGTTAGCTATGCTATTAATTTTAATTAGGAACAGAGTCACACTCAAAATACATTCTTGAGTAACACCTTCTTCTTGGACAAAAGACCTAGATAGAGTGTTGCCCATCCTGACTTGGAATCTTCGATTCTGTAAAAAGTTTTTTATAAAAACTGGCAAATTACCCCGCAATCCGAATTCATGTAGATCACGAAGTATTCCGTAACGCCAGCAGCGATCATAGGCCTTCTCTATATCAAAGAATACAGACACTAAGTGTTGTCGTCTAACAAACGCTTCGCGTATCGATGTTTCAAGTTTTACTAGATTATCCGTGGAACTTCTGTTCCTACGAAATCCAGTCTGATGTAATGAAAAGTAGTTCTTTTCCTCTAAGAGATACATCAGACGTCTGTTTACCATCCTCTGAAAAAGTTTACACAGGCAACTTGTCAGAGAGATTGGTCTGTAATTAGAGGGATTCTTGCAGTCTTTACCAGGATTTGAAATAGGGATAATAATTGATAATCTCCAAGAGTCAGGAAAATTATTTTCTGTCCATATTCTGTTAAACAGGTGCAAGAGATTAGAAAGGTAATTGTTTGACAGATTTTTAATCATGCTGTAGTGGATTTTATCTGGGCCTACAGCACTATTCCGCGAGCAAGAGAGCGCTGTTTGTAATTCAATTCTAGTGAATGGCACATTATATTCCTCATTAAATAAGGAATAAAAGTTTAAACACTGTTTTTCTCTTTGGGCTTTATAAGCCTGAAAATTTCTTGAATACATAATATTGCTAGATGAAGTAGATGTTTCACCCAACGTATCAGCAATACCCTGTATATTGCTGATTATTGTGCCATTATTTTCCAGCATGGACAGAGAGTGAGAAGCATATTTCCCATTGATTTTATGAATTTTATCCCAGACTGCTTTTGAGCTAGTGGAAGATGTTATGCTAGAAACATACTTCCTCCAAGAATCCCTTTGGCTTTGCCTTCTTATTCTTCTGGCATTTGCCTTCGCTTTTTTAAAAGCTATCAAATTTCTAGCAGTGGGGTATCTTCTAAAAATTCCCCATGCTTTCTTTTGTGCTTTAAATGCTGCCTCGCAATTCGGATTCCACCATGGTTTCGGATGCTTTGGATATCTAGTTGATGTTTTCCCCATTGTTTTTTCCGCTGCCTGAATAATAGTAGAAGTGACAACTTCAACTGCATCATTGATATCAGCAGTATTGGCCATTTCCTCAGTGATGTTAGCCATAGAGGAGAATGCAGGCCAATCTGCCGTTTCCAGTTTCCAGCGTGGTGGACGGGCTGTTTCACAGCTTTCTCTGCCTCGATATTTTAGAAATATTGGGAAGTGGTCGCTAGAGAGTGGATTAGATCCAACCTCCCATGTAAATGCTGAAAACAGGTTTGGACTTGCTAATGATAGATCAATGGCAGTGAATGTTCTTGTTGGGGCATGGAAGTATGTCACTTCTCCTGTATTAAATAAATATAACTGCTGATTGCCTATGAACCTTTCAATGGTCCTGCCTCGACGGTTAATGTCGGGACTGCCCCACATTGGATTGTGACCATTGAAATCACCTAGTAAAACAAATGGAGTAGGCAACTGTTCAACCAAAGCATCCAATTCATCTTCGTTGACTCTGACATCTGGTGGCAAGTATATAGAACAAACCGTGACAGTTACTCCAATAGAAATTCTGACTGCCACAGCTTGCAGCTCTGTTGTTATTTGTACCGGCAAGGATGGGGTGCGGTTGGAAACCAGAATAGCCACACCACCACTTGCACGGTTGTGGCTATCATCATCCTTGCGGTAGAGATCAAATCCTTTTAAAGTAATTCCCTCTCTAGGTTTCAGATGAGTCTCCTGGAGTGCCACGCAGAGAGATGAGGTAGATGATGTCAAGTGTTTAATGTCAGAGAAGTTGTTTCGGAAACCACGACAGTTCCATTGGATTATTTTATAATCCATTATGTGTTTGAGGCAGCATTCTTAGAAAAAGTGTCCCTCTTCAGTTTAACTGATGATTTTCCTTTTGGAGGTGACATTGGTTTTGTTACCTCCATATTATTCTCTTCATCAGAGATATCAGAGAACTCACTCATAGACTGAGCCTCTAATTTTTTAGATTTAGATAGAGCTGCTTTCACTCTCTGTTTGTTTAGTGGGTTCTTACTAGCCTTTTTAATACCCAGGTTTCTTGTAATTACCCGTTTTAGGCAGGGGTGTTTTTCCTTTTGTGATCTCCTTTTCTGGTGTTTGTGTAGACGGGAGTATTAAACATTTTGCATGGCGAGTAAGAGATTCGCTTGGGGAGACAGAAATATCAGTTTGAACCCCACATGACTTTGTGGATTTCAACACAGAAGCAAATGTTTTCTGTTTCACTACTGTGCTTTGAGTGACCATTCGCCGAGCCTCCAGGTATGGTATGTTGTTAATGGTTTTTACTCGCTGGATTTTTTCTCTCTCTGCCATGCTAGGCATTTTCGAGAGTAGGCAGGATGGGCATCTTTGCAATTCACACAGCACGGAGTAGTGGTACACTCAGTACTCTCGTGACCTTCAGTTCCACACTGTGCGCATATGCTTTTCCCTCAGCACAATGTTTCTGAATGTCCAAATCGCTGGCATTTAAAGCAACGCAGCAAATTTGGAACATATGGGCGAACTGGGCAGCGCAGATAACCTGCTGTAATAACAGATGGCAAAGTCGGTTTATTAAATGTCAAAATAAGGTGTTTGGTGGGAATCAACTTGCCATCTCGACAAATGGAAATGCGTCGGACAGCAGTAACACCTTGGTCTGAAAGGCCAATCTGAATATCTGATTCATCTTCAGATATCAGATTGATCTCAGATATTACCCCACGTGATTTGTTTAGGCTCACATGTGGGGTGACAGTGACTTCCATTTCTCCTAGGGTCTTTGTTTCCAGAAGTTTTGCCGATTGTTGTGGGGAAGCTGTTTCCACCAGTAAATCTCCTGATCTTAATTTTTGTATTTTTTTCAACTGTCCAATGGTCGATTCAAACAATTTTTGAATCAAGAAAGGAGAAGCTTTAGCNCTTCCATTTCTCCTAGGGTCTTTGTTTCCAGAAGTTTTGCCGATTGTTGTGGGGAAGCTGTTTCCACCAGTAAATCTCCTGATCTTAATTTTTGTATTTTTTTCAACTGTCCAATGGTCGATTCAAACAATTTTTGAATCAAGAAAGGAGAAGCTTTAGCCAAGGGTTTTTCTCCGGTTGTGTGCATTACTAAGTACGCTGGATTAGTGAAGATTTTTTTTGTTTGTTTTTGTTGCTGGTGCACAAGAACTTTTTGAATTTTTTGAATCCATAATTAGGGAAAAAATTCAGCTCCTAGTGACCCCACCCACTATGGGGCCCAACAAGAGGATGCCATCACATGGTGTACTTCCATAGACCGTCACACCACGGTTTCCCAGGAGCTATACCCTCACAATGCAGTCAAGAAAAGCACATCTAGACTGACATGTCCGCCCGGTCTGCATCGATCGGTTGACTCCAAGCCGAGGTCAAGAATGACTCAACGACCAGCCGATTGACTCAAACGGAGCCTGATTTGAGCCTCCCGTTTATCCGAAGCAGGGGCCAAAGCAGTTATGTTGCCCCTCAACTACCAGGATCCCCCTTTCCGGCATAAGGGACACCACGCACGGCAAACACGTGAGTGGGCGTTCAGATCCCAGGGATGGTAAAGAAGAGTTACTAAACCATCTCTGGGAGGTCCCCCTCACCACAGACAGAAACCCACATCGAAAGGTCAAAATGCACCAGTGCACAAACGTAATGCTTGATGGTGGATTGGATCCAGCATCCGAAGAGTAGATTCTCGCGCAGAGCCATAAACAATGCATCCGTAATCCAGCTTTGAGCAGACAAGAGCCCTGTAAATCCTGAGCATAGAAACTTTGTCTGCTCCCCAGGATAAGCAGCACAGTACCTTTAAAAGGTTCAGGAATTTTAAACATCTACTCTTCAAATTACGCAAATGCAATAAAAACATCAGTTTGGAATCAAATATGACTCCCAAGAACTTCGTATCTTTCACCATTGGGATTTTAACCCCATTTAAATGTATTTCAGGATCCAAGTGCAAACCACGCCTTCGGCAGAAGTGGATGCACGAGGATTTCTCTATGTTGAAAGTAAAACCATTAGTCTTGGACCAATGGTCTATGCGATTTAGGGAGGTTTGCAATTGTCTCTCGATAAAGCTCATGTTGCTAGACTGGCAGGAGATCTGAAAGTCATCCACAAACAAAGAGTGTTTCACACTAGGAGGAAGACAGTTAGCTATGCTATTAATTTTAATTAGGAACAGAGTAACACTCAAAATAGAGCCTTGAGGGACACCTTCTTCTTGGGTGAAGAGCCTAGATAATGTGTTGCCCATCCTGACATAGAATCTTCGATTCTGTAAAAAGTTTTTTATAAAAATTGGCAATTTACCCCGTAACCCAAATTCGTACTTACAAACTTTGGACAGGAACGGTTCGGAATGCCCCAGTGCACAAACGCAAAGCTTGGTGATGGATTGGATCCAGTATCCGAAGAGTAGATTCTCGCACATAGCCATAAACAATGCATCCATAGTCCAGCTTAGAGCAGACAAGGGCCCTATAAATCCTGAGCATAGAAACTTTGTCTGCTACCCAGGATGAGCAGCATAATACCTTTAAAAGTTTTAGATATTTCAAACATCTACTCTTCAAGATGTGCAAGTGTGGCAAGAATGTCAGTTTTTGATCAAAACAAACACCCAAAAACTTAGCCTCATTTACAATCAAAATTTTAACCCCATTTAAATATATTTCGTGGTCCAGCTGCAGACCACACCTTCGGCAAAAGTGAATGCACGAGGTCTTCTCTACGTTTAAACTGAAACCATTGGTCTTGGACCAATTTTCTATGCGATTCCGGGAAATTTGCAGTTGTCTCTCGATAAAACTCATGTTGCTAGACTGGCAGGGCAGAAGATCTGAAAGTCATCCACATACAAAAAGTGTTTCACACTGAAAGAAAGGCAGTTAGCTATGCTATTAATTTTAATTAAGAACAGAGTCACACTCAATATACATCCTTGAAAAACACCTTCTTCTTGTGTGAAGAGCCTAGATAAAGTGTTGCCCATCCTAACTTGGAATCTTTGATTCTGCAGGAAGTTTTTTATAAAAACTGGCAAGTTACCCCGCAATCCGAATTCATGTAGATCACGAAGTATTCCGTAACGCCAGCAGCGATCATAGGCCGTCTCTATATCAAAGAATACAGACACTAAGTGTTGTCATCTAACAAACACTTCGCTTATGGATGTTTCAAGTTTTACTAGATTATCCGTGGAACTTCTGTTCCTACGAAATCCACTCTGATGTGGTGAAAAGTAGTTCTTTTCCTCTAGGAGAAACATCAAACGTCTGTTTACCATACTCTCAAAAAGTTTACACAGGCAACTTGTCAGAGAGATTGGTCTGTAATTAGAGGGATTCTTGCGGTCTTTACCAGGCTTTGGAATAGGGATAATAATTGATAGTCTCCAAGAGTCAGGAATAGTATTTTCTGTCCATATTCTGTTAAACAGATGCAGGAGATTAGAAAGAAAATTACTTGACAGATGTTTAATCATGCTGTAGTGGATTTTATCCGACCCTACAACACTATTCCCCGCGCAAGAAATCACTGTTTGTAATTCAATTCTAGTGAATGGCACATTATATTCCTCATCAGATGAGGAGTGAAAGTTTAAATGTTGCTTTTTCTTTTGTACTTTGTAAGCTTGAAAATCCCTTGAATGCATTATGTTGCTGGATGACAAGGAAACAGTTTCACCCAATTTATCAGCAATACACTGTATATAACTGATTATTGTGCCATTATTTTCCAGCATGGACAGAGAATGAGAAGCATATTTTCCATTAATTTTGTGGATTTTATCCCAGACTGCTTTTGAGCTAGTGGAAGATGTTATGCTAGAAACATACTTCCTCCAAGAATCCCTTTGGCTTTGCCTTCTTATTTTTCTGGCATTTGCCTTTGCTTTTTTAAAAGCTATCAAATTTTCAGCACTGGGGTATCTTCTAAAAATCCCCCATGCTTTCTTTTGTGCTTTAAATGCTGCCTCGCAATTCTCGTTCCACCATGGTTTCAAATGCTTTGGGTATCTTGTTGATGTCTTTCCCATTGTTTACTCAGCTGCCTGAATAATACACAAAGTGACAACTTCAACTGCATCATTGATATCAGCAGTATTGACCATTTCCTCAGTGATGTTAGCCAAAGAGGAAAATGCA